GCCAAGTAAGATCAACTGGTATTTTTTCTCCCTGGCTTATTCTACTTAGCACGATGCTCTCTAGTTCTTTCCAAGTTGTAGCTAACTGCAAGATTTCTCTTCTCTTACAGCATCACAATTTTCTGTTATCTATAATCTTACACCTTCTTTATTCATTCATCTGTCATTGAACATTTGGGTCTTTTCTATATCCTAGCTATTGTACATCGAGCTGCAATGAACATGGATGTGTATCTTTTCAAATTAATTTTTTGTTCGTAAGGTAGATAAATACTAAGGAATGGAGTCACTTATAAGAATTAAATAGCCAATAAACGTGGACCACAGATATCTTTTATTTTTACTGCTGACATATTCTTCTGTGGTTAATCACCTGTAATCCTATGAAGCTTTACAGAACTGAAGTGTGGGAAATAGTATCACTGGGTCATATGAAAGCTCTAGTTTTTCTTTTTCCTTTCTTTCTTTCTTTCTTTCTTTCTTTCTTTCTTTCTTTCTTTCTTTCTTTTTCTTTCTTTTTTCTTTCTTTCTTTCTTTTTGAGACATCTACACTATTTTCCAAAGAGGCCAAACCAGATAACATTGCCACCAACACTGATTGAGGGTTTCTTTTTCATCAAATTGCAACACTAATTGTTTCTTGTCTTTGATATATGCCATTCTCCACAGTGTGGAATGAAAACAATGATTTGCATTTCCCTGATAGCAAGCGATGATGAACACTCATATGTCTTCCTCTAGGATTTATTTGGTAAAAATTTATTATTTTTCCCCAACCTGATAGTGCTCAGGACCTACTCCTAGCATTGTGCTCACAGGCCTGCAGCAGTTTTAAAGGACATTCCACGATGGGCTAAGTTCCTTAAGAAAAGGCACTAAAAAGAGTTCTGACAAAAATATTTTGGGAAGGGGGCTGGACCAATAGCATAGCAGGTAGGGCGTTTGCCTTGCACACGGCCAACCCGGGTTCAATTCCCAGCATCCTATATGGTCCCCTGAGCACCGCCAGGAGTAATTCCTGAGTGCAGAGCCAGAGTAACCCCTGTGCATTGCCGGGTGTGACCCCAAAAGGAAAAAAAATTGAGAAGTGATCCATATTTCAGTCCCCTAGCACATTCCTGTGTGTGATGGTCTATTAAAACCATCGAGAACATCTACAATGACTATAAATGACTATTTATTCTTCTCCAGCATTTTCCAATAGTGTTTGACTAGGGACTTATTTCCCCACTCCTATTAAACTGATTAACGCAGAATAGAATTTTTTTCTGAGCATACTTTGGGAAATGCTAATCCTTGAAGTGAAAAGGCTGGTTGGGGGTGGGTGGGAGGGATACTGGAATCAGTGGTGGTGGAGAATGGGCACTGGTGGAGGGATGGGTGTTCAATCATTGTATAACTGAAACCCAAGCACAAAAATTTGTAAGTTTACAACCGTACCTCATGGTGTTTCACTAATAAAAATTAAAAAAAAAAAGAGTGACAGAGAAGAAAATGTTTTGCTTTCAACCAGAGAACCATACTCCTGGCAGGTTGTCCTATGACAACCACTGTACAGAGTCTATGATGTTCGTTATCATTTAAATCCCTACTTTATTCCCACAGGGTAAAAAAAGAAGTGACTTTGGAAGTGAGGAGTCATGGATTCCATTCTCCCCTCTACAACTAAGCGCCTTTGGACAATTAACTTCCCAATCTGAATCTCACTTTTCTCAATTGTAAAATTAGAGTTTAAAGAAACTGTCTTTGATTGTCCTAGGCCCAATTAGATGATTCTATCTCATCCATATTAAAGGAAGATAAAGAAAAAATGGGATTTGCTTGATAAGCATTCTTCTTTATGACTAACTTTTTGGGGATGCAAACTGAATGATACATGAAACAGAAATCCTATAATACAATCATATGTGGATAGCTCATTATTCAGGCTATTTTTATTGAAAATTGAGAGTTAAAGGATGCAGTGTAGAATAAAGCTAGTTTTAATACTGTGGTTGCTGTCATCAAGTGATTTTTTTTTTTATAAAAAAGAGAACAGTCCAGAAAATTTCAGTTGCTCGACCTTTAATTAAAGCCAAAGGGCAGCTTTAAAGTTGGTTCTTCTAATTAAGTTTCCTACAATTGTACATTCTGTGACTATACTACTCTTGTTTATTAAACATGACTTACTTGTACTTCAAAAAAAATCAAGATGTGGTTGAAATGACTGATCTAAATAAAGAATCTAAAAGTATGAAGAAAGACAACAACAGGGCAAATTATTTTGCAAAAAGTGTCATGCATATGTCAGTATTTAACTTTAACAAAATAAAACTGAATTAATTGGAGAGAGAACTTCTTATTCCCAGGGAAGCAAGATCATAAATTTGATAAAATGTATCAGCTGACAGTTTTATTTTTCAGAATTTCCATGATCCTGGCCCTACAATTAAATAATAGTTTAGAGAATGAAGACTTGAAGTCACTGGCATCACAAATTATATCAAATAAGAAACTGAATCAGTCCCCAAACTGATACCAAATTAGCTTAAAGATGTACTTCCACACCCAGTCAAATATTTTTTTCAAGATACGTTTGTAACAGCTGGTTTCACATATAATACTCAGTTTCAATTTGATTATAAAAGTAGAAATCAAGGTCTTAAAAATGGTAGCTATTAATAACATTACTACAGGCTCCTCCCCACTGACATGTATGCTATCAAGCAGAGCTGCTCTTTCATTGTGCTGGATTTCAACTCTTCACCAGTGGTTCTCAGCCACAATTGCACATTATAATTCGTAGGGGAGATTTAACAATTTTCTGATGCCCAGTTTATACCCAATGCCATTCAAATCAGACTCTCTGGGAGTGGAATATAGCCCTCAGTACTGTCTACACTTCCAAGAGTTTCTTATGTGCAACAATATTTGATAAACAAAGAAGCAGTTGCAGTCAATACATTTCCAAGTAAATTGCCTTTACCATTCTGATTTTAAAATCATCAGGCTTTTTTTTTTTTTACATCTGTTTTTTTTTTTCGGTATCTCTATTTTCAATTCCCTATAAGTATTAGCAAAAATGAAGCTACTTCTCCTAAAAAGATGAAATGTTCAAAAGAACACTGAAACTGGTTAGGTACTTACCTCAATGAATATTTACTTGGTTTACAATAAATTCCTTGATTTCTTCCTGCATCTGCAAGAGACAGCTCTTGGAGGTCACTGGACTAAACTGGGGGCCAACTGGAGTCCTAAGTTTAGGTTTTATAAACTGAAAATAAGAGCCCCTGTGCTTGGATTCAGGGGTTGTGAAGGGGCTGAGTGTCCCAGCAGGCGAACTGAGTAGCTGAGAAATTTGGGAGAGACAGCTAGAAAGAAAGAAATGAAAAGAGAAAAGCAGAGCAAAATAAAGCAGAAGTGGCAATGTTCCTAGACCTTCAAGGTAGGTGTCTGTTGTCTTTGCCAGCTTGAGCACCTCCCTCCGCCTTGACCCACCCCAGCACTGTCATTTTGATGACTATTGCTGGGAAAAACTGGTAATTCCTGCTCTAGAATCTCTGGTGTTGCCCAGATTCTTTTGTCTTCTGGGATCTGATTGTTCACAGAGATATGTGAATTCTGGACTCATGAATTCCTGTTGCTTCCAATTCAAGAACTTTCTTGGTAGTAGCTGGAACCCATTTGAGGGCCTTATAACATTGTTTTGGGGTTGATGAGGCAAACCTGTCTCCTTAATTTTTTTTTAGCTCAGGGGATCATTAATATTCATAACTACATGCCCTGATTAGTACAGACTTTTTATTGACTCTCCTATTTATGTGGATGGTTCCAAGTCTATTGCAGGAACAAGTCTTTCTAAACTATACTCATATTCAAGGTCATATTCAAGCTAGCTTAACTATTTTATCATTCTGCACAGTTTCTGATGCTTCAGTAATTTATTTGCATTTAGAAGTATGAAGCTCTTATGAAGGAATTCCTAACAAAGGTAGACTTTGTGAACAATAGGATTAAAGGCTTACCCCAAAATAAGGTTCTAAATAATGCATGATTCTTTGAACAGAAGTCAAATACACTCCTAAAATAAGAGCTCTTATTTTCCCTAACAAGAAACATTAGATGAAATTATAGTGCGACATTAAATCCAACTGTACACCAATTATTTTTATTTCCAGTGGTTCTCATTACTAAAATGTATTCCTTAATTCTTTGAGCTTAATAATAATATACTTGCATACAACACAAGATGGCCTACTCAGATTCAGGAAGCACATGATTTTTGCCTTGTAAAGCAGTCAGCAGAGTTACAATGATACAAAGAAAACAGCCCAAATTCCCTCAGGTCCAAGTCACACAAATGAGAGGGTATGTGGGGCGCTAACGTGGCGGGCTTTGTATTAAAGTCTGGATTCCTGAGCTAGGTTTGAACCATATGATTAAATTTGGAGATAATTGGTTAAGAAAACCCGCAAAGAAAACCACAGTTAAGCAGCTTAAGTGATTAACAAATGTGATCTTTGTCAAACTCTGGATGAACTATAATTGAAAAGGAAATTGTGGAGCCAGTGCCAATAAAATGTGATCATGGAGTCTGACCAGTTCACAGTGTTTCCTTCTCTAAGAGGTGGAGGAAAGGGAAATATCAGCCATGAATTTTCTGACAAAGAAAACAAGGTGAACTAAAAGAAGCTGTTGAAAAGGCATTCTGACCACAAGACTTTATTTTTAATACAAATTGGTAGTAAAATAAGAAGTACCCAAGATATCTTTTAAACAAGAATACATTTTCTGTGTATCAAGCCATCATTTACAGATTAACACTGCAACAAATTTGAACAATCTTAATTCATTTACAGAAAGTGATAAGAAACAAAAGTATATGTAGGGTGAGAACCAACAAAGCAAGAACCAATTCAAAGTTCAAAAATCTCGTCTCTATTAATCCTTTCACAATTCCAAAACTCACACACATCAACAACAGAAAGCAGGAATTATTCACATTAAACATTATTTACAGAATAAATCCATTCCTGTTAATTTTGCTTTCTTGGGACTGCCCAACAGACACAGCTCCACGTTGGGGTAGCCCTTGTTTTGCCCTGGAAGGAGAGATTACACCAACTCATAGTATTTCCCAGTCTGGGGGTCAAAGTAACAGTTCAGACATGGGTCATACAGCAGAGTCAGCACTTCCTCATCCTCTTCCACACTTGGGTCTTCTTCACCTGTGAGAAGGGGAACCAGAGACACATTAGCGACTGATATTGCCCAGCATTCCTGAACTGCAGCATCACAGTTAATCGCCATTTCCCCTGGGTGAATTTCTTTCTTGGGGCTGGATGCCGGCTGATGCTAGAATGAAGGATGCAGTCAATGTGATCAGACTAGATGCAGTGTATGCCAGAGGAGAAACAGCTACTAGAGGGGCAGATTGACTAAAAAAGAAAAAGAAAAACAGAATGTGTGGAGAATTGGGAGGGAAGGGGAAAGGAAGAGAAGCTCAAAGGTCTAAAGAGTTGCAAATCAGGCCTAGAGAAACTAGAACAGGATTCAAATTTGATGATCCCAGTTCAAGACTTCGTCATGAGCCTGCGCTGTACAAATGCAGCAGTGTAAATTAAACTTCGGAGAACTATTTCGCCATCCATGCTTGCTAAATTACTGCTAAATAAACATGAATTAAAAGAATGATTTTTAGAAATGTGGTGCATCACAGAACACATTGTAGAAAACAGCGTCAGGCAAGCTTTAATTTTATTATTGCTTGTTAAGCTCTGTCAAATTTGTGGGGGGACATAAAAACATGGTTTTTAGTTTTGTGATAGTCACTTAGATGGTTGAGATAACTGTGAGCACTGTGCTAGTCTTTAGGGATGTGATGATATAAGAAATGGCACCTGTTCTCAGGAGCATGTGTGTGTGTGTGTGGTGGAAAATATTTGAGATGAGCTGACACTTTTGTGAGCGGCAGGCAAGCGCTGTTTGTGCACTGCAAACTCCAAATAGTGGAGGTCACAGAGGAATGATTATGTCTTCCTTGCTCATGAATCCTCAGCTGGTAGAGCCCTCAGTGGCTCTGAAAGCACATTTGCCTCAATTCATCTTCCTGACCCTGTGGGACAGACAGGAGTCATCATGCCCGTTTTATGGACGAGGGAATTAGAATTTGCAGCATTCATTAGCTCATCTGAGGTGAGACAGAGGCAGAGACAAAATGAGCTGTGCACACTCCCAGCTCTGCATTCTTTCTACCATAGTTCTGTGTTTGGTGTTTTCGTTTAAAAGGTGGTGGAACATATTCTGTCGTGAATTAGGATGCTGTGAGAATATAGACATAGAATGGAGTAACAGATTTAAGAGTATCTGATACTGAAAACAAAGGCTTGGAAACTAAAGAGATGCACTTCCTCATATTTCAAAACCCAGACAGTGTGTGGGAGAGCAGAGTCAGAGTTTCGTGAGCAAAATGAACAGGGCTTAACTCCACCAAATGGAGGGGACAGGTGCCCATGTGCCTTCAAGGAAATTGAGGGTGGCAAATGAGAGAGAAGATTCGGTGCAATTCCAGGAGGATGCAGTGGGGCTGACAGCGGGAGTTATGAGGAGCCAGATTTGGGCTCAGCATGAGGAATTATTTTCTAAACATTTGATCTTATCGGCAAATGGAACATGGATCCCAGGAAGGGTGAAACAGGGAGCAGAGCAAACTCTTACATTAGGTTCTTTTAGATGAGCCCCTGCATCAGACAGGGGATTAGAACTTGGATGAGCTTTGGGTGACTCTTGACTATCCTCTAGACCCTAGAGATAGATAGGACCCCATCTCCACCCCCTCTCTGTAATGGTCATGCTAATAGTGATAGCGGACCTAGGAACAAGGATTTAGAATAGTCAGTTTGCCTTCTTAAGAGTGGTTCTCAAACACTACCTCCCCTCTCTTCTTTGAAGCAGGAGAGTCTGGGAAGTTTTTCAAGCAGCTGCTTCATCGTTATGATGAGCCCGGGGTCATGTCTGCACCTCAAACACACTGAAGTAGAGTGGGGGCACCCTTTACTCCCAGACATTCAGGGCTACTGCAGGGAATAGAATAAAATCTGTTTCTCAGCAAGTAACTACTGTGTGCTTGCTATGTGAGCAAGTTGCAAGTGCAACACATACAAAACAAAAGCAGCAACTAAAGATGATGAGACAGCTACAGGGAGGCTGGTAAGCCTGGTTTCCTGACTAACGTGGATACAAACCGAGTCCTGTGTTTTACTACCTGGATGATGTGAGCCTGGCTGTGGGCTTTTTACTCTTACTAGATCTCTGATTCACTTATAAAATAGTTGTAATAATACATATTTCACAGGGCTTTATGAAAGACAAAATGGATTTGGATAGTAAACTTGCAAAGCGCATAGAGTAGTTGTTCAATAAGCCAGTTACCATTATTACTATGAATAAATCATGACATACAGAAAAAACTAACTTATGACAGAAACAGTGATAAAGCTTTAAGTATGAAGAAAAGAGAAAGCAAAATGACAGGCAGTATGACATACAGACAATGGAATCAGAAAGATTTGGGACCAAGTGGACCAATGTCTACTCCATAGTTGTAGGACTTTGGAAACATTCACCACTCAGAATCTCAGTTTCCTCATATGTAAAATAAATATAGTAATAGTACCTTTTGCAGTACCTTGGAGAATCAGCACTCAGCACATACACTGTGAGAACTAAGTTATAATCATCTTCAGGGAAAACTTAAATACTTATATCTAATTCCCTACCCTTTTTACTGTTTGTTATTTTACTACCAAAAGGAAAAGAAAGGGTTTATATGAAACACTATGCCACTAAATAGGGCATGGTGATGAATTCATCTTTGAATAAAAACAGTCCCTACACCAAAAATTATAGCCTTCTAAAAGCAAAACTAATTTTTCCATCAGGGATAATGTTAAAACCCCATTTTACTGAGGTGAATGATTATAAGTCAAACTATTTCAGGGATCTGTTATGTGATGTCTTGTTTTCACTCCATCATCCATGGGGAAAATTTTGACCTCTGGCACTCTGTTATATTATTGTTTAATGCATTCTGTGCCAGAGAAATTTAAGCTGGCGCTTTTAAATGAAAAAACTCAAGTACATTTTACAACTAGTCAGGAATCTTTCAAGATGAAAATCACCATTGTAATGGGCCATGGGTCTTTATCATTCAAATGCAAAGGGATCAAGGTGGATCCAATTCATTAGCAGAGCTTCTGCTACATAATGCATACAAACTGAAGCAATAACTGGTATAGAAATGCATTTGTTCCAATACATATCACCATCAAACTGGAACCTCACACATTAAAACACATTATATGGGACTAAGACAGGTTTTGTGGTTTTTAGTACTAAAGCTTTAAATGGATGAATTTAAAAACCCTACCAATAATGACATTCATACAAAAATTGGGAGACATTATGTATAATTTTACATTGAAATAAGTGCTTTAAACTTGCATAAAAGGTTTTGTTTTCATTATAACTTAATTTTCAAAGCCTCCAACTTACATCATTTTGCCATTGTAATTCCTACGTAATGAAATTATAATATCATTAAGCAATTACCACTATGATGTCAAGCAATGGGAAATGTTTTGAAAGGTAATTATTGTGTATGGGTATGGGGTAATTTTCAATTACATTCTTGGATAGAGAGTTTGTTTTTCCCCCTCAAATGCTAAATTGCTCTATTTAAAGACTGACTACAGAAACTCTAAAAGGACAAATTAACAAACAAAACCATTCTCTGCTACCAGACTAAGAGCATCTGGACAGGGGTCCAAATTACATTTTCACTCTTCTGCACAAAATAAAGTCATTTCTAGTGGAATGAAATTGCCTTTCAGATAATAATCTATTTACAAACTTTCAGCCTCATCCACTTTGAAATTGGTTAACAGCAGTAACAGAAAAAAACCCCAACGAAGTCAGACCAAATGCAGCAATATTAGTTTCCCTCCCCTTTGCTAGATCAGCTTGGAAAAACACACCCTCCCTTCACCTTTTGAAATTCAATTAATATAATGGCTTAATTATCTATTTTTAATGCATGTTGACCACAGATCAAATGATAGAAAACCTATGTGTACAAGTAAAATCTTCCAAGCTTGAAAAGAAATGATGTGGCACCAGTTTATTAGATTTAAAATCTCTGAATCAAGTCTCATTACTTGATTTTTTCGATTTTCTGACGCTGCCATCGAAATTTTTTTAATTTAATGTATTTTCTCTCTTATAGATCTTGAGAACTGATTGACTGTATTTTTATGTGCATGCGAATACACTATTGTTTAACAATTCAATGGTGAGAGATCACCATCTGGAACAGTCAGCCTGAAGATCAATAAAGATGACACCTGAGATAAGATTCTGCAGAGTACCAGGTGATTGCAAACTCTTCCACCAAAGTGAACTTGCACATCATCTTGAGGAAGTCCGCTGGGAGCTGAAGAATTTTGGTTCTCAGCAAATATGTGCCCTCAAATGGGAGCATGAGAAATCAACGGTGAAATAAAGATAGAGATTCTTTTATTAGAAAGCTATAAAGATATTTTGGAAGGCAAATAACATGCTGTAATTTGAGCATACTTTTCACTTGGGAAGAAAGGTCATCACAGTGGAGGTTTTTATTTTTATTTTTTTAAACTGGAAAAGTGCCTTTTAAACCAATATACCAAAGGATTTGAATAACTGCAATTCTATTCTTTCCAGTTAGTCTTACAAACACACAGTGACTCAAATGTGCACTGGAGGTTGTGTACCTCAACCTGGCAGAGTCAGTGTTAATCATATCTTAGGAAGGACGGAAAACTCCACAAAACCAATTTGTGCTTATGAATGTGTGGCATACAACTTTGAATGCATTTTGTTAACCATGAAAAAAATAGGTCCTGAGTCAGGCAATTGACATGGACATTTCTTGCACGCGGCCGACCCAGCCAACCTGAGTTTTTTTTTTTTTTTTGGTAGGGGGCATCCCCAGTGGAGCAAGGTGGGGTTATTCAGGGTCCACCATTGATCCATCCCAATGTTCTCATGGCTCAGGTGGTACCGGGTATGGAATCAGGGGATCATGCATGCTAGATAAGAACTCTGCTACTTCGACTACCTTCCAAGCTCCCCTTATGAAATGTGTATGGAACACTTACTTTGTCCTATGTACCAAATCAAACACTGTGGATTTCAGAGCTATTCCATGAAGGACAATGGGGAGATGACTAACAAAGCAGATTTTAGAAGACTAATTTTAGACTCAGAACAATAGGTGAGAATCAAATACCCATGTGGCAGAAACAGTACTGTAACAGGATTCCTCCGGGGGCCAGTACAGTGGCCATGTTTCCTTGGCCCTGGTATCTGCCTATGATGAGGCATGTGGCCTTGAACTCGTTCTTCACGAGCCTAGTGTGTCAGCTCCGTCAATTGTAAACAGTTGACATTCCACTGGTGACAATCCACATACAATAATGCTACTTCTTTCATGGTGTTGCCATGAGAGCTAAATGTGACAACAGTTTAGCATAGCATTTGACAAAGATTAAAAGCTAAATGGAACGGATTCTGTTTCAGAACAAAAACTTGGAAAATCAGAACTTAGACTGCCCACAAACCTCCTCCTGTCTTCTCATGACAGAAACTGGCCACCCAAGCCAATTATTATCATAGCTATTATTACTGTTATTTTGGACAATCACATCAAATCAGAGGGAAACACTATCTTGGTTTATTGGTGGTAATACCTGTGATAATACCATATTGAGATTAACCAAATAGGAAAGACAAGATTTTAACGGTATTAATTAAGTAAACTACCTAAAACATATCAGAAAGAAGGAAGGAACAGCTGACAAAAGTCTAGGGTGACAGGCAGAAGGGTGTCAGATTTGGTTAACACTGGACAGGATATTTCCACAATGCTCTGAATTTAATTTAATTTAATTTGCTAATTTGCTCCCAAAGTAGTTCTGTTTACCTTCAACATAACTAAAAGTCACTACTGCCATCCCTCTGCAATGGCGACTTTAAGACATCCTTTCAGCCACTTCTCACTAATATATATCTTGGGTGCCTTTGCTCAAGGACCATGTTCTCACTTCCTGAGGCTTATTTAGGACACTTAACATAACATATTATTTGTTCTCTCACAGCAAGGTCTCCTTCTGACAGCTGAGATTCTATTTTTCTGTCATAAGTAATTATAAATGTACACCTCTAAAAAGATTCCCAATTTGAGGGGCATAATCTATTTCAGACAGTAAATCACAGCGACGTCTCCATCCCTTGGGCAGACAAAATGTACCACTTAGATGTATGAGCTCTCACTCTGAATCCGCCATACCTGAAGAAAAATGGGACATACCAGTTTCTCCCTGGGGCAGTTAGGAGATAAAAACCAGCAGCTACTGGAAGCATTGTTAGAGCAATTTGTATTGGTTTCAGTTCTTTTAAAAAATAAACTTCAGCTATAGTAGTAATCTCATCTCCAAAATTCAGCTTAGAAAAGTATCTAGTAAGTCCCACTCTGAGGTAGTTTGTCATCCCTATTAGCGATAGCACAGCGGGTAGGGCGTTTGCCTTGCACGCAGCCAACATGGCCGACCTGAGTTCGATTCCTCCTCCCCTCTCCGAGAGCCTGGCAAGCTACTGAGAGTATCTCACCTGCACAGCAAAGCCTGGCAAGCTCCCCGTGACGTATTCGATATGCCAAACACAGTAACAACAAAGTCTCACAATGGAGACGTTACTGGGCCAGCTCGAGGAAATCGATGAAAAGTGACAATTATGCACTTTATTGGTTTTGGGTTTGGGGGCTACACCCAGCTGTGCTTGGGACTTACGGCTGGCTCCGTGTTCAGGGATCACTCTTAGTGGGGTTCAGGGGACCGGCAAACACCTTGCCCACTGTACTATCTCTTCTGCCCCAATTATGCATTTTAGATATCCCCACCTCACCCCTGCTCTCTCAGCCTTTGTTCTTTTGCTCCAATTCTTTTCTGTTTCCCTTCATGGGCTGGAGTGATAGCACAGCGGTAGGACATTTGCCTTGTGCGCAGTCAGCCCGGCTGAGCCAGGTTTGATTCCTCCGCCTCTCTTGGAGATCCCTGCAAAAATTACCGAGAGTATCACCTGCACACACGGCAAAGCCTGGCAAGCTACCCGTGACGTATTTTATATGTATATATTTGATATGCCAAACACAGTAACAAGAAGTCTCAAAATGGAGACGTTACTGGGCCCACTCGAGCAAAATCGATGAACAACAGGAGGACAGTGTTTGTTTTTGTCTTGTTTTTCTCCTTCATGTAGTCCTAACCATCTCGTTCGGGTTCATAATCAGAAACTAATGGTTCATCTTTATGATGCTTGCCAACAAGGAAAACACCAGACTTATTTTCATTCCTGCATCTTGTTTTTAATAACATTTTTTTTCATTACTAATACTAGCTATTAGTTCATTGTCAGTATCTCCGTATTTGAAAACATGCATCTTGGTAACACTGGAGTACTAGGCTTGCTTTATAGTACTACTAACATGTGATATTTGTGAGTTGCCTAAGGCTAAGTGCTTTATACATGTGCATCACACTGAATCTTCATAAAAACCTTTTAGATGGTTTACAAGCTAAAGGTATCTGGAGCGATAGCATAGCGGGTAGGGCGTTTGCCTTACAAGCGGCCAACATGGCCGACCCGAGTTCGATTCCTCCGCCCCTCTCGGAGAGCCCGGCAAGCTACCGAGAGCATTCGATATGCCAGACACAGTAACAACAAAGTCTCCAATGGAGACGTTACTGGGCCCGCTCGAGCAAATCGACGATCAACGGGAGGGCCTTTGTTTGGGCCTTTGTTACAAGCTCAGAAATGTCACACAGCAGGAATTGGCAGAGCTGGAATTTGATGGCCATTTTGATACCAAACTCATGCTCTTATGCCTTAAGCTATATATTTTACCCCTGGGTTAACCCTCAGAAGACCAAGGATAACTTCTTCTTAGTTACAAAGAATCTAACATCCCATAAAATCAAGCACAAGTCACCTCACCTTGAACTGTGTGATTCTAAGTGATCAGCACTTAATAAAAACAGTGGTATCTCAAAGTGACTGCTTTTTCTCTACTTCTAGTAGATTATTTTTTATTCATTGAATTTTTCACATTCCCACCTTGAGCACTCAAACTTCCAGAAGAATCTGGATGCTGCTCTGCTGGCTGTTGACTGGGAGGAACAATTGGTGGGCTCAGCATATTTAACCAGTCCCTAAAAAAGGAAAGAAAAGAGTAAACAAACAGCATGTCTATAATTCCATGTACATAATTTACCTTTACCCAGGATTCCACCCCTCCCTTTTTTCTGAGACACCCAAGTGGGGTATAGGAGGTCTCTGGGAGCCCCACTGGAACATCAGTTTGACATAAGAACCCAAGGATGCAATTTTGCTCAAGCCCTGCTGTGCTGGGGATACCCAGACCATCTTCACAGCTTGGGGGGGGTCCAATCCTGGGGGGTGGGGGGGTCCAGTGTTTGGAGGCCTCCAGGGATACACTATGTGATGCTTGGGTGTCCATATAGTTACAGGAATCAAATTTGTGGTATCTCCTGGTCCCCTCCCTGGAAGTTTAAGTCTCTTAGATTTCCAAAAAAAGAAACAATTTTCCTCCACATTTTAGAAAGACAAGACACCCAGAAATTAACATATGGTTACATTGATGGGCTAATATGGAGTCAGTCACGTAAAAATATTTTTATTTTAAGAAACTTATCAGTCAAATGATTATTCCCTTCAAAAGTTTTTTTATTATTACAACTAACAGTAGCATAATTCCCTTCACATAAGAAAATTATTTCAATAACTCAGAAGAGAGATGAAGCTCCTTAAGATCTTTGGGAAACAAAGTCACGTGTCACACGTCATGGATGATACTATTCCTCATGCAAACTCAAGTGCGGACTCAAGTGGAAATTAGTCTCAGTGTTATCACAGACCAGCACACAACGGTGGGCATCAGTATATATTAGTTCAGGGCATCAGAGCAGCAAAGGGCAAAATAAGGGAGACTCAGGGCTATCAGGTCCTTGAATCACTCATTACTTCTATTCTTTCACTCTCAATGAGAGCAAAAACCATTGAAGAATGCACTTCCTACATCCTGTCCCTCCACCTCTAACTTCTAACCTCATTTCCAAATCTTGTTACTTTCTTCATTCTTTTCCAGACTCTTTGCTTCCCTCTCACTAGCCGAGTCAGAGTGAGGCAAATGGGTGACATCCAGTAGGCAGAGTCACTGTAAATTCTACTTCAAGTCCTTCTCACTTTAAGGCTGCTACTGAATTTACTTAGAGGAAGGGAGCAGGCACATGAATGTGAAGGATAGTCCAATATGAATAATTCTATTTCTTGTACTGTTATTAGCACCTTATTTATTAAGTTTATTTAGTTTTAGTTCACATCTGGTACTACTCAGGGTTTATTCCTGGCTCTGCACTCAGGGATCACTCTTGGTTGGGTATCAGGTACTGGGGATCAAACCCTGGTCAGTCATGTGGAAGGCAAACATCCTACCCATTGCACTACCTCTCCAGTCCCAGCCTACTTAAATCCCGTTGTTCCCAAAGGGACCATGTATGCCTTCATGACTAAGCAAATTATTTCTAAAAATTTGTATTTATTACTGTCTTCACCTTCAATAGGAGCCATTCCCAACTAGTAACTAAGAGCGCTGGCTCTGCAGGTCAATTCCAGCTCCATGTTACTTTATGTAAGAACTTGGCCGAATGAGTTAATATCATAAAGCTTCCTCTATACAGAGAGGGTTATAATAATACTTCAGTTATAAAAATGCATAAAATAGATAAGAGAAGGAACACATGGAGGGTGCGGGATCCCGGAGGAAAAAAAAAAGAAAAAACAGGTTCCAAAAAGAGCCGAGATCACCGGCAAGTTCCAGATGGAGTAGGCGCCGCATCCCGCTTCCGCCAGATGGAACCCCGGTGACCAGAAGCCTCTAAAAATACAGCTCGAGTATGCAGGAACGAGGACTTTTTCTCAAATCTGCCGGACTACACCTCCCAGGTAACCTCTGATTCCGGAAGTCACGCCCACAGCCCGCCCCCCAGCGCCATCTTTGAAGCGTTCAGCATAAGAGAAGGAACACATGGAGCCAGAAGCCTCTACAAACACAGCTCGAGTATGCGGGAACGAGGACTTTTTCTCAAAACCACGCGGCCGCGGACATCTCTCTATATACAAAGTGATCAATGAGAAGTAAACCACCCAATCTTTCTCCCTGAAAATCAGAGTTAAGTTTGGAGCACGGCCACAGCCCCAGAAACACAAGGACTTAATGCAGAACCCAGCAGCTTAGAGCAGAAAAGTGAACGGACGATGAGTTAACCCAGGCCATCTTCTCTGCCCAGAGGGGAAAGGGTGTTGCCCCATTCGCCCTCTCATCTCTGGAAAGAAGGATGGCGGCCGCATGGGAGCCTTGTGGACAGCAGGTATGAGCCGGGGTTGTGGGGGGCGACTAAAACCTCACGAGAAGGGGGGCGTTCCGGTCCGTCCTTCACGCCCTACCAAGGTCAACAGTTGCCCCCCACAAGCGGCTCCCCAGCACGGCCACAGTCCCAGAAGCACAAGGACTTAATGCAGAACCCGGCAGCTTGGAGCAGAAAAGTGAAAGGACTATGCGTTAATCCAGGCCATCAAGTCTGCCGGAGGGGAAAGGGTGTTGCCCCTTTCGCCCTCTCTTCTCTGGAAAGAAGGATGGCGGCCGCATGGGAGCCTTGTGGACAGCAGGTATGAGCCGGGGGTGTGAGGGCGACTAAAACCTCATGGGAAGGGGGGCGTTCCGGTCCATCCTTCACGCCCTACTGAGGTCACCAGTTGCCCCCCACGAGCGGCTCTCCAGCACGGCCACAGCCCCAGAAGCACAAGGACTTAATGCAGAACCCAGCAGCTTGGAGCAGAAAAGTGAATGGACTATGCGTTGATCCAGCCCATCAAGTCTGCTGGAGGGGAAAGGGTGTTGCCCCATTCGCCCTCTCCTCTCTGGAAAGAAAGATGGCGGCCACATGGGAGCCTTGTGGACAACAGGTATGAGCCGGGAGTGTGGGGGCGACTAAAACCTCATGGGAAGGGGGGCGTTCCGGTCCGTCCTTCACGCCCTACCGAGGTCACCAGTTGCCCCCCACGAGCGGCTCTCCAGCACGGCCACAGCCCCAGAAGCACAAGGGCTTAATGCAGAACCCAGCAGCTTGGAGCAGAAAAGTGAAAGGACTATGCGTTAATCCAGGCAATCATTTCTGCCCAGAGGGGAAAGGGTGTTGCTCCCTTCCGCCCTCCTCCCTCTGGAAAGAAAGATGGCGGCCACATGGGAGCCTTGTGGACAGCAGGTATGAGCCGGGAGTGTGGGGGTGACTAAAACCTCATGGGAAGGGGGGCGTTTCGCTCCGCCCTTCACGCCCTACCAAGGCCACCGGTTGCCCCCCGCGAGCGGCTCTCCAGCACGGCCACGACTCCAGAACACAGAAACCAATTTCTTAACTATCTGACTTTCAGTAGAAATACTTCCAGGGTCAATAGGTAAAATAGCAGAAATCCAAAACCAACATTTAATTCTTGAACCCAGCTGTAGAAAGCAAATCACTTCACAATGCTTTTTCAGCATGTCTGATTTGGGGGGGGGGGGTAAACTCTAAATAATAGTGGTGAATCTTATTGAAACAATGAATCTAATCAAAGCAGATAGAGTGTTAACTAGAATTCATCTGCCTCACAGGGACGGGGAGGGGTGGGGGGTGGGGTTTTATTGGGGTTCTTCAGGGTAAAAAATAAGTATTGGTAAAGGGAAATGTGTTTGATATTTGCATGACTGAGACATAAACCTGAAAGCTTTGTAACCTTTCCCACAGTGATTCAATAAATAAATTTAAAAAAAAATGCATAAAATACAACTGGCACTAATCTGGGTAGAGTTAGTACTCAATAAAGTTTAAACTCTGATAATAGTATCTTCATTACCTGTGAAGTCAAAATGTGATTTTGCCTACAAAATGGCTTTATTTTCACAAACCAAGGCAGATACTGAATTCTGACATAATTAAGTCAGTAAAGGATAAGAGTTATGGGACCAGAGAGATAATGCAGCCCATAGGGCGGTTGCCTTGCACGCGGAAAACCCTGTTTCAATTCTCTGCATCCCCTAAGCACAGGCAGGAGTAATTACTGACTGCTGAGCCAGGAGTAACCCCTGAGCATTACAGAGTGTGACTCTAAAACAAAATATAACAAAGCAAAACTAAAGAGTTTTTGATACTTGTTCTGTAGATTTGCTCGAGCGGGCCCAGTAACGTCTCCATTGGAGACTTTGTTGTTACTGTGTTTGGCATATCGAATACGTCACGGGGAGCTTGCCAGGCTCTGCCGTGCGGGCAAGAATCTTAATGTAAAAATTACCTGATTCTTATATTGTTTTAGGATACTTTCTGTTACAGATTACATTAGTTCTCACTAGATTCTGTCCAGTAATGTATGAGCAAGATGAATGTGCTATATGTAACTGAACTTCAAAACAACACATTAAAGACATCAGAAAAAATTTGTCACAGACTTCCAAGCTAATGGGGCATTTTCTGATAAGCGTCTTTTATTTAGTCCATGTAATTATGGAGGCCCCCCAAAATTCCTATATTATAGAAAATTACAAGGTTACATACAAATTACCAGCTCAGTGATGTCATTATTCAGTAAGAGAGATGGAGAGTAAGGATAAGCAGGAAAAAATAATGTTATCATACAATGACACCCCAAGCTATAAAATAATCTTCACAATGTCATTGGCAGTTGCTACACATGGCCCGTGTGTGTAGGGAGAAGAGTAGGTGTGGTTTCTGTGTTACTGTGAAAAACGTCAAGCCATTCACTTCTCAGGTCAGACTGGATTAATGTTTCTTCCTTTCTAGCAATAGCTATGGAAAATACAGCATTCTTTATTCGAAAATATTTTTCAAATATATAAAACAATTGTATGATGAGTATGAATCACTCAGATCTCTCAACTTACTTGCTATCTATCTACACACCATCATCATCTCTATCTAAAGAAGAAATCACACTCTTAAATGTATATACACCTAATGAGGGACCAGCTAAATACTTAAAACAATTGCTAAAAGATTTTAAGGAGGACACTGCTAGCAACACAATAGTAGTCGGAGACTTCAACATCGCCTTATGACCTCTGGATAGATCAACAAGAACA